GTGAATTTCTCCGTCTCTGCATCTTTCTGTAGGTCTAGGTGATTTTGTTTCACAAAATTCCCCCAAATAACAATGAATTCATCCCAAATTTTCATATCTCGTTGCTGATTTTGTTATTTCTCTTTGCTTTACAGATTTTATTTTTTCAATTATGGAAGGAAAGTGTTGACGGATATACGGTTTGAATCGGGAAATCAGTGGAAATTGTTTCTTTATCACATCCTTGGGAAGGTATTTCTTTTTTTTTTTTTTTGGTTCTGCAACTCTGGGTAGTAAAGTCTGTTTTACGTATGAAACAATTGAGGGACTGCAAGTAAAGGGAAGAAAGAGAATAGGGGAGAAACGTATTATATTTCATCATAATTCTCAAACTAGTCATTATTTTTTAAGCTTGACGTGAGATTGTTCTTGCGGCTTCGGGTGTGAAAAAAATATTATGTTATTATTTCACATAGTGGAATCATTGGATTGAGGGTTGCATGATGCATCTATATGTCTGTACCCTTTCTCTTGTTGTTTAAACAATATCTGACATTTTCAAGATTCTATATTACACTTCTGTAATCATAGAAAAGAGATTTTCTTAGCAAAACTTGTGGATGATGTTAGACATAGTTATTTGAGAACATTAAAATAGGCGAAAACCATTTGGATTACATTGTATAATTTGTGATTTTCATGTGGTGATATGGGTTTCTTGTAGGTTTCTTCATTAAATAGAGGAAATGAACCTAAACCATCGATGTAGCATGATGTTTCTGTAATTGCCCGTGGCATCATTTTATTTTTCTTTCTGTTCTCGACCTTGAGTTGCCTAGGGACCTGCTTTCTCGACTTATTTGTGAAGCACTTTATGTTAAAAATCAGTGCCTTTAATAAGGGTGTGGTGAGAGTAAGTTACTGGAGATTGGTTTTTGCTATCTATTTTAGTTGTTCTTTTATTCTCTTTCATTCTTTAGTTTCGCCAAGATATGTAGTTGAGTATTTGTACATGTTACTCTTAAAAGATTGCATGTGCTTTTTAATTTTATACAATTAAGTGGGTTGAAAGTTGAATTGTTGATTATCTACTAACTTACTAGTAAATCGAATGCTTTATTTCCAATTTATCTTCATATTTTATTTAGGGGTATTAAAACTTCAGTCCAAGATAACTGACATTTGCAATATTTTTGAATATTAACATACACAAATCGAATTAAGTGCTCTGCTGACATGAATAAAGTTTCTAGAGGATTGCTAATTAGATGCCCAAATATAAACAGTCAGCTGCAATGCTTGTTACTTCAATTTTGGTCTTTTGATTGATCAATAAAGTTCAAGTTTTGGAGTTTTCTCCAACTAGTTTGTTATAGGATGAAAATAAAAATTGCGATTGCCATTGTAGTTGGGCATTATGGTAACCTATGCGCAGCGGAGTGCTCGACAAGTTCTTATCAGTTTTATTTTATTTTTGAATAAAACAAAAATAAATAAATAAATAAAATAAAAGGAACAATTAAATTTCTAATCTTGGTACTGAAGTTTATTTTAGATTACTAATTTATTTGTTTTTAAATAGATTAATTGAATCAGCATGTTACCAAAGTAACCTCTCTTATCTAAATTTATCTATTTGGAATATTAGAAAAGTCGTGTCTACGTAAATTATAGATAAAGAATGGGTGCGTCTTAACAGGTAATTTGTACTTTGTCATGTAATTTATATTTTAAGATAGTATCTTAGAACATTGTCTTTTAATATTGTTAGGGCCTCACAAGAGTACATAAAAGCTTTGAAAATTTTTGTCATTACTACTCATCATAATTTAGGCAAACCAAATAAAATTTTATGTCCTTGTAAAAGTTGTCGAAACTTAAGCCATCAATATGTAAATATCGTTCACGGGCATTTGGTCGTAAGAGGAATGGATCCGATTTACACAAATTGGTTTCACCATGGAGAAAGACTAATTAGTAATGTTGATACTACAAGTAAGATGGAAATATTCAACTTGTTTGAAGCTACACGTACAAATGAAGAACATAACAAGGAAGTTTTTGAAGAGAATTTGGATTGTGACATTAGTCGATTGGTGAGGGTTGCTGAAACTCCGCTGTATCCAGGAAATGAAAAATACACAAAGCTATCTTCAATTGTGACCTTATATAAGCTTAAAACTATTAGTGGTTGGTCAGATAATAGCTTTATAGAACTTTTAAACATATTACATGATATGTTACCTCAAGGTAATGTAATTCCTACATCCACACTATCTGTAAGAAAATTTCTAAAGACATTTAATTTAGGATATGAGAAGATTCATGCATGTGCCAATGATTGCTGTTTGTTTAAAAACGATAAAAAGAAACTAGATAGTTATCCAAAATGTGGTTCTTCGAGATGGAAGGTCGATAAGCAGACACAAAAGAGTAAAAATGGTGTACCTGCTAAAGTCTTAAGATACTTTCCTATAAAACCTAGATTCCAGAGGATGTTTAGTACACCGAAGATGGCTGAATCATTAATATGGCATTCGACCAATCTGAGTGTTGATGGTAAAATGCGTCATTTAGTGGATTCTCCATCTTGGGCTTTAATTGACAACAAGTGGCCAAAGTTTGCAAATAATCGACGCAATCTTAAGCTTGTGCTTGCTACGGATGGTTTCAATCCATTCAACAATTTTAGCTCTACATATAGTTGTTGGCCAATAATGTTGGTCATTTATAATCTACCACCATGGTTATGTATGAAAAAAGAAAATATCATGTTGTCATTGTTAATTCCAAGGCCTAAACAACCTGGGAATGATATTGATATATATTTGCAACCACTTATAGATGACTTGAACGAATTGTGGAATATTGGGGGTGAATGTTTATGATTCACGCACTAATGCAATCTTCAACTTGAGAACAATACTTATGTGGACTATTAATGATTTACCAGCTCTTGAAAATTTAGTGGGATGTAAAATTATGAGTAGGATAGGTTGCCCTATATGTTCTGAGAATACTCACTCATAGTGGTTAAAATTCAGTAGAAAATTTGCATACAAGGGTCATAACAGGTTTTTGTCACCATCTCATCCGTTAAGGAAAAAGAAATCTTGGTTTGATGGGCATGAAGAAAAGGGAAGCAAACCTAAAATTATGTCCAGTAGTAACATTCTAGTTACTCTTAAAGATTATGTCAAAAATTTTGGGAAAGTTCAGAAACGAAAAAGAAAGACAGATGATGGGAGCATGCTAACATGGAAAAAGAGATCAATCTTTTTTAACTTACCATATTGGGAGGTAAGATTTTGGCATTCTCCAACTCCTATTCAATTTCTTTCAATTATTTGAATATACTTTTTGTATGAAACTAACAAAATCTTTTTGCTTTATTATATTATTAGGTGCTATCGTTACGTCAAAATTTGGATGTAAAGCACATTGAGAAAAATATATGTGAAAGCATTGTTGGTACATTATTAGACATAAATGGTAAAACAAAAAATGGATTAAATGCTCGTCAGGATTTACAAGACATGGAAATTAGGAAGGAGTTACATCCAGAGGAACGAGGTAATAGAATATACCTTCCTCCTGCTCCACATACGTTGTCAAGGTTGGAAAAACAGACATTTTATAAGATGTTGTTTAACTTGAAATTACCTTATGGGTGCAGTTCAAATGTAGCCACTTGTATATCAATAGATGAATGCAAAATTATTGGCCTCAAGTCACACGATTGTCATGTCCTTATGCAACAACTTTTGGCTATAGCATTAAAAGGATTACTTCCAAAAGGACCAAGACATGCAATTTTTAGACTATGTACATTCTTCAATAGATTATGCCAACGAGTTGTTGATAGGGAGAAAATAGCGATATTAGAAGATGAATTAGTTGAAATCTTATGCAGTCTTGAAAGATTCTTTCCTCCTGCATTTTTTTGATATCATGATACATTTGGTGGTACGTGTGGTCCAGTTCACTATCGTTGGATGTATCCTTTTGAGAGGTGAGAACTTCACAATTACTTGGATAAATTTACACACATAATTTCATTCTTAGTACTAATTTGTTTACTTTGCTTAATTATAGACATATGAAGATATTAAGCTATGATTAATTATTAATAAACTTATATAAGTTTGGAAATCTGATTGTTAGGCTATAAGCCAAAGGTTTAGAGAAATTTGAGAAAAACAAATCCCACACACATGCAATCGCAAGGGATTTGCCAGATTGCTTGAAGATATGGTAACATTCAACAATTTGACTAAGTAAATCATTTGCCCTAGATTCTTATTATATAATTCTTCACTCTCTTAGCAAAAGAAGAGCAGCAATCTATCTTCTATAGGTCGAAAAGAGGTTTGGGCAGCAGCACATATAAAAAAGAATGGTGAACCTATATGCAAATTTGTTGAAGAGACGTTTGTAAGTATAAATAATTTTTTTTCCTAGTTCTATATATGCGTGCGTGCACGTGTGTGTGTGTGTGTGTGTGTGTGCGCGCGCGCGCGTGCATAAATGTATATATACACTTATGTATTGTCTTCTTAGGAAAAATTGAAAGATGCAATTTTGCATGCCTCTAACACTAACATAAAAGAAGATGCTCTTTCTAAATTACTTGGTCCAAAGAATAGTGGGCGATTATGAGGGATTGGAGGTGGAGTTTGCTATACAATGTATTCCATATTAACTCAAAGGGAGTCTACTGTAGCTCATTTAAAGGAAGAACAAAATCATCTAAAGGTTCAAGTGGCGGATATGGAGAAAATAATCAATGACTTACTAAAAAAACTGGTTAGTAAGTTCCTTTAAGTGAAATATAACTCATATACTTTTACTTCACATGATATAGTAACGAGTTTTTAATATTTTTTATCTTTGTAGTTTCAGGAAAAGCAAAGTAAAGAATTATCTAACATTCAACCGTCTTCATCGGTAAAATTTATCATTCCTTTTAATTGATAATATATATTTATTTTTAAAGTTGATTATAACCTGGCTCCTAAATTTGTGTTGTTGAAGAGTGTAAACACTAATACACTCAACAATAAGTGTAAGCTACTAGATTGGACCGAAACATGAGAAGAGGTAGCAGAAGGACGTTGCTCTTCAAATGATCCAAAAATATTGGTTTATCACATTCCTCTAGGACCTAATGCTGTGAGAGTTTGGGGTGATGTAGTTTTGAAACCTGATACATTCTTGTGGAGGCCTACTTCTGATATGACTTATATTGAAGAATGTGTTGGTACCACAGTTGCATGGCCAATTGACAAAGCTGTCATCGAGTAAATAGCATAAACAATAAGGTAAAATTTTATATGCTAACATCTTCGAGCACTAATTAGAGTTTTGAATGTTTTTACTTTACATTATTTTACAATTTAATAAGTTGTATTACTTGTTAATTTTCAGATTTAAATGCTTTATTGGAGTGACAGATGTCTTCTCCAAACTTGTTGCAAGAGTTCAAGGAGTTTCATTTTGAAGAAATAGAATGGGATCATTATAATTTAATTTTGTTTGTTGTCTTTTCAAGCATATATTGCTGCTAGTATTTGATATGAAGGCGAAATATAATTAGATTTCCCAATGAATTTCAATATTGATGAATGTTTTGAATGTATTATTGGTCTTGTTATTGTTGTTCATATTTTTTTGTCCAAAAAATAATGATATTGAATATTTACATGTGCTAATTAAGGAATTAGGAATACTATGTAATATGTGTACATTACAATAAAAAAATGCTATTAAAAATAATATGTTACATTCAAAAAATGCTATAAATACTAAAACCATGATGAAAAAGAATTTTATATAAGATGTAACATGACAATTAAAAAATGCTACTAAAGCTAAAATTATGACAAAAAAATGTTATCGAATTAAAAAAGATTGCACGAAAAGAATGCTATAAATACTAAAACAATGACGATAATAAAATGCTATGTAAAAGTTTTTAATAGCACTTTATAATAGCATTTATAAAACGTTTTAATAGAGGTATGACATTTAATAACACCACCTACGGCAGCATTTTGGAAAATGCTATGAAACATGATAGATAAAAATCTTCACAAGCTATAGACGACTTGATATGTTGTAGTGATAACAAAATTATCTGCTCCACCTTGCGTTGCCTCGGTCCAGATGATAAATGGGATGAGGATGGGAAACATTGTCCCTTCCTTGAGAAACTCGAATGCACTACAGAAACTTGAAATTTCTGCACATGCAGTTCGAATAACTTAATTTGTATACTTATGAGAAAAAGAAGTTTAAAAAAAAATGAAGATGTAATATGTGATGCACAATTCTTAGTATAATGAATTTCGTAAAAGCTTGTATAACTAGACATATTATCTTGCTTACTCAAGTGATTTTTTAAAGACTTGAACTCAAGTGTTTTTTTTATTATTGAATTGTGGACTTATGATGTCAATATTTTATTAATAGTGATTTTTGTCATCTAATATTTTCTTGACGAGGTCCTAACAAATCAATATTTAATTGCTCCATCTTTTTTATAATTAGCTCTACTCTCTCTTTTTCGTTTTATATTTATATCTTATTATATTGTTGTCAAACTAGATTTTTTAACAATTCAGTTATTGAACAAATAGTCTTCAAAGGGAGAGTGCTGTAAAATTATAAGATAATTATTGATAACTATTAGTCTTTATCAAATACATAGAGAAGTCTATTTACTTTAAAATAGTGTATTCTATTCAGATTGAAAATCGAACACTATACATGTGAATCGTTGTTATAATGAAATACACACTTTAACATTAACTCTCTTAATTATTGTTCTCTTGTTCTTTTATTCTCTTAGTCTTATAATAATTGTTGACCCTGAAAAACAAACCCACACGTGGTCAACAGAAAGCAACTCCACGTGTGCTCCTCTTTGAGCACTTGAAACACATTAGTCACCCGTAGCCTTTCCTATTAGTGTCAATAGCAACTTCGAGCACTTGAACGATCAAATCAGCAAAACGATAGACGAAAGCAGGTATTTTCAACAGTGGGAACTATCGGAATTTGGATGTCTCAATAATATGGGAAGGAAATATTATAGTATTGTATAGAGTTACATTACCTTGTAAAGGCACAGAACATGGATATTTATAGAGAAAGAGGTGAAGGAAGGGCCATAAGTTGGAAGGCACGTGGTCTCATCTGTCGGCTAAATTGTCTTTTCCTAGACGTCAATCAGTCACACCATAAGTGTGCAAGTGACAAAATAAATTTGGCTTGCAATTTTGGCACTTGTGGTACAAACATCATATCTGTCAGTCAAGTGCCTTGGACACATATTTGTATAAAATATCTTAGTATATTGCACCGAGGCACTGTGATTTCTATCAGCAAGCATGTCTCCCAATCGTATCACTTCATCATTGCCTGCACCAACCCGTCGAGCTTCGGACTCGTGTGTGTATATGGCCTTCACCCAGCACATCAGCGCCTCGGTGGTGATATGTGACATGGCAGGTGACGTAGAGTATAGACCGTATTTTGACCTGGTGACTCTTTACAAGAGGCGTAACAATAACTTTTTTTTATTCTATTAGCCAATGAAAAATGTGACAAGTGGATTCTCTAGATATAAAAAAAAAAAAAAAATTATAAACAAAAGTTCACAAATAAATGGACCTTATTTAAATGCAGATAGTTAAGCAACTATGAGAGTGAAATAATTGTAATTGAGTTATATCTGTCAATATGAATAATGTTTTTTTGCATATAATAATAAACATCAAGGCATCAATTATTAGGTATTCTTAATATTACCAAAGACAATTGCCTTATGGTAAAACTCCTATTGTCGCTCGACTCTTTTATGTAGTTTAACCAAAGTCAATCTTTGTAATAGTAAAAGTTAGTAAATGGGTAAAGATATTTATATATTTTAATATAGGTTTCAGCATTGTTGATCAAACATAGCATAATGAGTATCCACTGTCCATTGCTTTTCAACTTTGAAGATCATATAGAAAAGTTGTCCTACCCTATGTTGTCACCAAAAGAATTAAGAAAATAAAATGTGAATTATGAAAGAGGAAGACTCAGCACTCCATGGTTGAATGATGACAATGTATGCCTACCGGGTTAATATTTGGAACATCTAGACTGGGGATGAGATGGTGCAAACAAGTGAAGATGAGAGCGAGATATTTAGCCACCACATAAAGATCAAGGTCTTTTTTTTTTTGCAGAATTTCAAAACAAGATTATTTGCATTCGAATTCCTTTGAAAACAATAGTTGAAACACTTGTCTTTAATAAATAATGGAAAATTTTCCCAATAAAAAATAGTGCTAGTAATATATTTGATTGAGCACTTATTTTATTTAAAATAAATTATGTAATTATCAATATGTAGCACATTATAGACTTTAATCGACATATCATATGATACTATCAAGAAGACTAAATATTATGCACGGAAAATATGTTTAATATCTACAAAATTAAAATAGTCCCTTTATAACCAGTCATGCGTAATATCAAATAAATCATTTTTGTCTTTGACAAATTTATCAAAAATTTGTAATATCTAATACATATATATTATCGTGAAAAGTTCAAAGATAATCGCTTGTTCAACCCTCCCTTTTAGCCAATATTCAGTTATATCACTACCTATGATTTTCATCATGTATTTT